TCAAGAGTACAAAGTAGAAACCGAGAGAGTGAAGACGATCCAGAATAGCCACGACATAACAGAAAACATTGGTTGCAGGGGCGCAACGTATCTGAACACGACTAATTTGGCAACGAAGAAGTTGAGAAACTTAACAGCCGAGGTAACAAAGGCATCCCGAAGTTGATTTCTCATTATTTGCTCTATCTTTCATGGATGGCCTGGTACGCATAACCTCACTGTGAAATATGCAAGCATTCCCAAGAATGCGTATGAGTACAACTTTTGCATGTTGCTCTTCTTCTGTCTCTCTGGGAAATGCATTTTTGACTCCATTTTTGGCCCTTCTTGTTTCAACTCTTTCTGTTTGTGTTATCAGACAGCTTGATTAGGCTATTTATAGGTACTTAGAGAAAGTCAAATCACAGCTTATTCTTGCTGGACAAGGTAGACCCTTGGATCAATGAATAGATGATTAATCCTAGAATCAGGTATCTTGGAGAGTACGAGGTCAACTGTAGAGGTTGCAATTAAAATAGTTGGTAGTCAAAACCGTGGGGAGGAAGCCTTGAACCTAATCCTATTACCTCGATGCATATGGATCTCTACTTTGCTTTAACTCTCTGTTTTCTTAGGCGGTGGATGAGATAAATCACATATGGGGTGGATGAGGTAAATTACATATTCCATAATAATTGATTTGATAAAAGAACACACTTGGAAGTAAAAAAAAAAAAAAAGCAAAAATAGCTTTTGATTTATGAGAAAGTTTGCAGTTGCTATTTGAAAGTGTGCATAATATGAAGTTGAGATTTTAGCCGACAAAAGATTATACAAGGAGGTAAACTAAGTTAGGAGATCAATAGACAATTATCGATTGAACTTATCAAATCAACTGTCCTACCAACTTGGCTGTGGTTAACTCAAAAGTAAAATTGCTGATAAATATCTATTACTCAAAAGTAAAATTGCTGATAAATATCTATTCTTGCTTCCTACTTGTAGAGCAGTTGCCCAAGTCACCAACTTGATCAATTTGCCACACAATCCAAGAGGGGTAAGCAATCAAGAAGAAGAAGAAATTATCAATTTCTAACTCAACTTATCCTAACACTCCAACCTCAACTCTCTACTAAGTACTAACTACAGAAGAAAAAAAGTATTAGTGAATCACTTTTTTGACACAGGTAATTAAAATCTAAACCGAAAATTTTCAAATTTATAAAATATAAAACCAATTGATTTTTATTTAATAATAAATTAAAATCTAACTGTTGGACTCGACTCGTTTCAAATAATCTGAACTGAAATGTCCACCCTTACCTTGTACATCTATGTTGGGGAGTAGTGGAGTCTGGCTTACAACTCAATATGTCCATAATTTTATTTCCATGAAATAAAACATACCGCATTTCATACAACCTAATCAATCACAAAACCAATGATGATCCTGAGATTTACACAAACAATTCAAATTGTTCTCCCATAGACCCATGGCCACGCTCATGATTATGCGTTAACAGCTTATGTTGGGCAATTTATATCGTGCACCACGGTGCACATAGAAATGTGTGCTCAGGCTGAAAATGCACGCGTTTTAATTGTTGACGTCACTCCGTCCATCCAAACCTCATTATGTGTATTCAGTTAAGTCTCTGTGTATTGTATTATGAGTTTCTGTGTATTCAGTTAAGAGTTTATGTGTATTAGATTATATGTATCAGTAATGAGTTTCTATGTATTCTGTTATGAGTTTATGTGTATTCGAAACAGAGATTTTTTTTTTTGGACAATGCACCAAAACGACGTCGTTTTGAATAAGGCGGGACACACAATGCATTGTTCGCCATAGTGCACGATATAACGATTGCTTATGTCGAGCATGAAATCAAGATTGAGAAACTATAACCTTAAAAAACAGAAACAAATGTACGTAAATAATAATGGATTATTGTTGCTGGGGTACGTGTCTATTGACACAAGTTTTTAGTCTAGTACAGAGCTGCGTCCATCTGGTTTCTGTAAAATACATAGTACACAGAAGAAGAAAGTGATAAGATGAAGACGACACAGAATAGAAACCGAGGGTTGCAGTGGCGCGTGGACATATCTGAATACCACCAACTTGGTTGTGTAAAAGTTTACGAATGTTGTGGCCAAGAAGGTGATGAAGGCATCAGGGATAAGCCAACTCCAAAACATGCGATGGCTGTAACGTTTTTCCTATTGCTATTATTATAACACTAATACTCGACCCGTGCAACACGCGGATAATATTTGTAGATGCAATTTTCATCAATTAGTTTTGTTTGGCAAGTTAAATAAAAATATCGAAAATGATAATTACAAAATACAGCATACATTATACGACCAAAACAAATTTATTTACTGTAACATACATTTGAATTGAAGGTACCATTATTATGAACATGTAACATTCTAGGTAACGAGGCCTAATAACTCGAAGAAATGATTGTCTCTGCAATGCAATCCAAGCACACCATGATGTTCACAAGCATTGGAATGCTTTTGGTCATCAATTCAATTCAATTTAGTATAATTAAAATTTATTAACTGATATAGTTAGAGTAACATACAATTCTTATTTTACATTTTCACTATAAACCCAACAAATTTTTTTAAATATCATACCAAATATAATTTAAAATACAATATGTTCAAATAAAAAAATAACCACCTAATAATTATGGTGCAACATAAACATAAACATATATCAATATATAGATATTTTTAGTACAAATCAAACATATATCAATATAGATATTTTTTGTATAGAGAGAGAGAGAGACAAGGCAAATCATCTGCCCATTTCTTGCAAAGCATATATGTCAGATTTTATTTTTGGATTAATTTGGTTCACATGCAATGAATATTTAAGAATTAGTTCATCTATTATTATTATTATTATTATTATTATCATTATTATTATCATTATCATTATCATTATCATTATCATTATCATTATCATTATTATTTGAGAACCTTTTTGGCTTCAATTTTACCATTATTATTATTCATATATATCACCATCACCATATATATATATATATATATATATATATATATATATATATATATATATAGCATAATGAGAGCAATCAATAATTAATGATATTCAATAAGATTTTTTATTTATAAAAAAAAAGAAAGAAAGATGAAACATGTCCAATGCATAGCACCCGTGCGTTGCACAACATTAATTTAGCTCAATATTTAGAAATATATAGCAAAAAACTATATATTGAATTAACATTGTATTTCATCTACTAATCTATATTTGAAATATTTTTTTCTGAGGCCCAAACACCATTTTTAATTAAGATGTTAAGACATGGTCCATTTTATATTTTTTTTTTCTGAGGCCCAAAGCACATTTTTTCTTACCCGAATATCTTATCTCGGTTAAGACTTGACAATCGTTATGCTGTGGAACCGAGTCCACCTTGCAAGGTGGACACCGGGATTCCAAATTGTTTATAATTACTAAACTATATGTTAAAGACGCATAGCATAATTTGCTCTGTCAAGATCTCTCTCTACACTCCCTAGCTCAATCTAGAATCCACCGAGATTTGTTAAAAGAATTCTTGACATTTAGCATTTTATCCCATCCTATTAATCCCGGGAATGTAAATTTGGTAGCAAACCAAATTACGCTTAATATGGAAACCTTACTTGAGAAGAATGATGGGACCACCCCGTGACTGAAACAGCCTTTCATTCTTCATCATTTAGACAATTTTCTGGACAAACCCTTGCATTGAGAGACAAAGCAAGTCAAAGTGAACAAGAATAGAGGCATTAATGTACATTGAGCAAGAACATTAAGGGTGTGTTTGGTTGGTGGATTTTGCCCATAGGAATGAGTATGAAAGTGATTGTTGTCGTTTGGTTGATAGGTTTTTAGAACACTACTATGGGTTTCGAATACCCCATCAATTGAAAAACCCATACCCAAATAAAATAAGAGTTTCATTCCCTTATTCATTCTCAAGCATTACTATTAGTAACCATTCCCATTCCACCCTACTACCAAACATGTTAAATACTTCCACCAAAACCCATTACCATTACCAAGTATTTGATACCCATTCCGATTCCTATGTGCGAACCAAACACACCCTAACATCTTTAGGCAAGCAATAATTCATAGGTTATGAAACAGAAAATTACCTGCTCCAAGGAATTGAACAAGAATAACAACTTTAGGCACATATTCTGGTGTGTCATTTTTTAAAATTGAAAATCATTTTTAAAACTAAAGAACACTTCAAAATCTTTTTTAAATACTAAAGACCACACTTCAAAATCATTTTAAAAATTAAAGAACATTTGTAAATCATTTTAAAAAAAGAACATTTGAAAATCTTTGCTAAACTAGAGAACACTTAAAAATCATTTTTAAAACAAAAAGAATACTTGAAAATCATTTTTAAACAATAGCACACTTGAAAATCATTTTTAAAACTAAAAAGAACGCTTGAAAATCATTTTAAAACTAAAAAGAATACTTAAAAATTATTTTTTTTTAAAATAAAAGAAATACTTTAAAAATCATTTTTAAAACTAAAAAGAATCCTTGAAACAAATCATTTTTAAAACTAAAAATAATACTTAATTTTTTTTTTTTTTTTAAACTTATAAGAATACTTGTTATTTTCCATAAGCAATGGTAATTAATTGAGCAATTAAACATAGAATCTAGCCCTATAAAGTAAAAGACTATTTTGTTGCATTAGGAGTCTGTAAAAATAATAAATTAACAGAACCTAAACTCATTTGACAACACATATAAAGCAAGGCAAAAGCTTGATTCTTACCTTATGAGCCAGATGGCGAAATGTATATACAACAAGCACTCAATATATGTAAAGTTTATTTCTTCATTCTTTCTCCAAACCATTTATTTCTGAGATGAAAATCAGATAATTAACAGAACCTAAACTCATTTGACTACACATAAAGTGCAGCACAAAAAGGCGCAAAAGCTTGATTCTTACCTTATGAGCCACCCGATGGCGAAATGCACAAACAAGCAGCAATCAATATATGCCCAAAGCTAACCAACCAACTCAAACCAAGAATGTCAATAGGCCGCTCCCGCTAAGAATAGAACTTGTAACCTTGTGGTTACCAAGTCAAAAGTCTGACCAATTTAGCTGGGGGTTCCCAGCAGAAACTTTTCTTTGATAGACAGCTGAAGCAAAAAAATAGAGCTAATATTTTATCGTGCCATCTTTCTGGCCACGGGGAGGGGGGTGGGTGTGGATGGTGACTTGATGACAAAAAGCATATTACCATATAGCAAATACTTTCTCAGGAATCACTTGGAAATAGAAATTACCTGTTCATAGAAAGCAAAAAGAGAAGATGAAGGAATACGAAAAATGAAATACGAGGGTCAAAACGAAATTAATGAAAAGAATAAAGAGAAGAAAAACAAAAAGGTGGATGAGGATAAGAGATAGAAAGTGAAAGGATGAGGATAAAAGGAGAAAGAAGAAAGACGAAAAAGTGAGAAAAGGAAGTTGAAGGAGTATGGAAAATGAAGAATGGGTGTCAAAACGGAGAGAAAGATAAACATTACACTTTAATGAAAAGAATAAAGAGAAAAAAGGTGGATGAGGATGAGAGAGAAAAACGAATGGAGGAAGATAAAAGGAGAATGAAGGGGAAGATAAACAAAAAGACGAAAAGAGTGAGAAAAGGAGTTTGGAGAGAGAGAGAGAGAGAGAGAGAGAGAGAGAGAGAAGGTATGGAAAATGAAGAATGAGGGTCAAAACGGAAAAAAAGATAAAAATTACACTTTAATGAAAAGTATAAAGAGAAGAAAAATAAGATGGTGGACGAGGATAAGAGATAGAAAGCAAAAAGGAAGAGGATAAAAGGAGAAAGAAGAAAGACAACAGAGTGAAAAAAGGAGCTTGGAGAATAAGAACGAAATTGGAAATTGGAAATTGGAAATTGGAACAAACAGACACACACACACACACATGGGAGTTGAAGGAGTATGGAAATTGGAAAATGAAGAATTGAGTGTCAAAACGGATAGAGAGATAAACATTACACTTTAATGAAAAGAATAAAGAAAAAAAGGTGGATGAGGAGGATGAGAGAGAAAACAAGTGGAGGAAGATAAAAAGAGAAAGATGGGGAAGATAAACAAAAAAACGAAAAGAGTGAGAAAAGGAGTTTGGAGAATAAGATAAAAATTTTATATATATATATATATATATATATATTATATATATATATATATTATAGATAGAGAGAGAGAAAGAGAAGGTCAACAAAGAAAAAACGAGAAGGGATGGGAATTAGAGTTGGTGATTAAGAAAGGATGGAGAACACAGGAAAAAGAAGGAAAGAAAGAAAATTTTGAAGTAGACGACAACGAATAGAACTGACAATTAAGAAAAAGGGAAAAAAAAGAGAAAGATAAACACGCACAAATGAGATGAGGGACGTTAGATGATGGATAAAAAGAAGAAAAAAATAACAAGACGGAATAAGATATGGAATAAGCTGAAAAGGTTTTGAGGGAGAAGGGAAAGGTTTCATAGCGGCAATAAAGAACACTTTTAACAAAAGTAAAATTAACACAAGGAATAAACAAAAAGCACATGAATACTAAAGTAGTCTCTTAAACTAAGGCAAGATGTATACACTCAAGAAAATAATGCGGTCACTCAAAATGGAGGTACCTTCTTATTTAGAGGGCGAGCTTTAAACTTGAGAAATTTTGCCATCATTTCTTCTTCCAACTCAACTGAGCTCCTAAGTTTTACTGAACGGTAACGTTGAGCTGTTTCAAGTTCAGGTTCCTTGGGCCTTGTCAGTGTAAGTTTAGGATTCCTCTGCACTGAATCCAGCCATACCATCCTCAAAAATAGTTTCAATTTTTAAAGAAAATGTACTAGAAAATTAATAGAACTTTTAAGCAAGTTATTTGTATTTATATGTGACATGGAACAATTCAAGCGTGGCATTGATATCTCCCTTGTACTAGATTCGAACTTCTTCATAATTTCTGCCATTAAAATAAATAGGGCTGCTGGTTCTCACAAATCTGAAATAGAAATTTTCACCACGTATTAGATTCAGAAATTAATGTCCATAAATGAAATGCAAGATATAAAAATGCATACTAACCTGTCTTTCTTCCGTACAAGCTTTAGCAATTAAAGTGTGCAAGATATAAAAATGCATACTAACCTGTCTTTCTTCCGTACGAGTTTTAGCAATTAAAGTGTACAAATTGTCGGTAAATTTCCCAAGTCTTGTTTTATGGAGCAAAGTCTGAGGTTGATTCTAAGGATACAAGCAAAACTGAGAACAAACATATTTTCCCCTCTTCAAGTTTTTGCCTCTCTATAGCTTGATTTTCTTGAGCAATATTTGGAATTTCAGATGTAATTTTAATATTTGCGTTCCTGTGAATCAATAATTGAAAAGAAACATATTACACAGATTCAAGCTCACCAAAACAAAGACATATAGAACAAAACAAGACAAATATGGGAAGTAAAAGAAAGATATCTACCTTCTTGCACTAGCTGGATTAATACCACCAAGTTATAATAAATCAGGGAAATGAAGAAAGAGAATAAATATGAGGACAAGGGGAAGAATAATACCTCACACCATGAGAAAGATAAACACGCACAAATGAGAAAGGAGTGTAGATGAGGAAAACGGGTATAAAAGCTTAAAAATAGCAACACGAATAAGAGATCGAAAGAGAAGGAAGGAGGAGATTACCAAAAAGACAAATAGAACTTGGAGGATGAGAGGAAAGGACAAGATAAAAATTATGAGAGTAATGAAGGGAAAAAAGGAAGAAAATGTGAGTGAAATGAGAAAGAGAAGAAGAAGTAGAAGAACAAGAACAAGAAGAGAAGGAAGAAGAGAAAGAGTGGGTATAATAAGAAGAAAGAAAATGAATATGAAAACAAGAGAAGAAAAAAAGAGTAGCAGTAGACAAACAGAGAAGATAGGATGAATGAATATGGAAAATGAAGAATGAGGGTCAAAATCGATAAAAGATAAAAATTACACTTTAATGAAAAGAATAAAGAGAAGAAAAATAAGAAGGTGGATGAGGATAAGAGATAGAAAGCGAAAGGGAGAGGATAAAAGGAGAACGAACAAAGACGAGAGAGTGAGAAAAGGAGTTTGGAGAATAAGAAGGAAAAGAGATGATAAGGAAAAAGAAGGAATGAAATAGAGAAATGGATAAGAAAGATGGAAAAGATAATAAAAAAATGAGACCATGAAGAAAAAGAAGAAAAAAACAAAAAAAGCTAGAGAAGGAGAAACAATGGTCATCAAAATGAAAAGAGAGATAAACAGGCACAAATGAGAAGGGAAGTTAGATGAGAGATAAAAAATAGAAAAATAACAGGACATAATAAGAGATGGAAGGAGAAGGAAGGGAAAGTGAAATAAAAAAGACGAAAATGATAAGAGTTAAGAAATTTGGAGAACGAGATGGAATGAGAAGGAAAAGTGGCGAAAAAAATCAAAGATATATAGAATAATAGAAGGGAAAAGGAAAAGAAGAAAAAATAGGAAGAAAATAAGAAAGAGTCGGGATAAAGAATAATGTGAACGAAAAAGAGAAAGAGGGGAAGAAAAAAATAGTAGTAGACAAATAAGAATGAAATGGAAGATAGATGGGAAGATTAATAAGGAATGAACTAAAAGAAGATAAAGAAGGAGGATGCGGATAATAATAAAAAGAACTATAAGAGTAATTAAGGAAAAAAAAAAGTATGAGAATTATTCTAAGAAAGGATGAAGAACATGAAGAAAAAAGAAGAAAGAGAATGAATACGAGGACAAGATGGAGAAAAATAATACCCCTCACACAATGAGAAAGATAAACATGCACAACTAGAATGGAATTTAGATGAGGACAAGAGGTAGAAAATTGAAAAATAACAAGATAAATAAGAGATGGAAGGAGAATAACTAAAAAATAACAAGACAAATAAGAGATGGAAGGAGAATAATAAAAAGACGAAGAATAAAGAGAACTTGGAGGATGGGAATTAGAATTGGTAAGAAAGGATGGAGAACATAAAAATAACACTTCAACGAAAAGAATAAAGAGAACTTGGAGGATGAGAAGGAAAGGACAAGATAAAAATAAAAGATATATAAATGGGGAAAAAGAAACAAAGAAAAAATAAGAATTATGAGAGTAATGAAGGGGGAAAAAGGAAGAAAATGTGACTGAAATGAGAAAGAGAAGAAGAAGCTGAAGAAGAAAAAAAGAAGAAGAACAACAACAAGAAGAAAAGGAAGAAGAGAAAGAGTGGGTATAATAAGAAGAAAGAGAATGAATATGAGAACAAGAGAAGAAAAAAAGAGTAGCAGCGACAAACAGAAAAGAAAAGATGAAGGAATATGGAAAATGAAGAATGAGGGTCAAAATGGAGAAAATGATAAAAATTACACTTCAATAAAAAAAATAAAGAGAAGAAAAATAAGAAGGTGGATGAGGATAACAGATAGAAAGTGAAAGCAAGAGGATAAAAGGAGAAAGAAAAAAGACGAGAGAGTGAGAAAAAGAGTTTGGAGAATAAGAAGAAAAAGAAATGACAATATATACATTGAGAGAGAGAGGGGGGGGGGGGGGGGTCAATAAAGAAAAAAATGAGAAGAGATGGGAATGAGAGTGAGTAAGAAAGAATAGAAAACATAAACGAAAAGAAGGAATGAAATATAGAAACGGATAAGGAAGATAGGAAAGAGAAGAAGAAAATTAAGAAGAGAAAATGAAGGTTAGAATAAAAAGAAAGGACATGATGAATATTAGAACGAAAAGGAGAAGAAAAAGAGAGCAGAGTAATAGATTAAGAAATGGGTAGAGAGGCGAAAAGAAGAATAATGAAAATTTTGAAGTAAAAGATAATGAAAAATGAGACGATGAAGAAAAAGGAAAAAGAAAACGAGAAGAAGAGAAACGAGGGTCAAAATGAAAAGAGAGATAAACATACACAAATGAGAAAGGAAGTTAGATGAGAGACAAAAAGCAGAAAAATAACAGGACGGAATAAGAGATGGAAGGAGAAGGAAGGGGAAGAGAAATAAAAAAGACGAGGATGATGAGAGTTAAGAAAACTTGGAGAACGAGATGGAAAAATAGCGAAAAAAATCAAAGATAAATAGAATAATAGAAGGGGAAAAGGAAAAGAAGAAAAAATAGGAAGAAAATAAGAAAGAGTTAGGATCTGTGAACGAAAAAGAGAAAGAGGAGACGAAAAAATAGGAGTAGACAAAGAAGAATGATATGGAAGATAGGTGGAAGGAAGAAAAATAGGTGTGAAATAATGAAAAAGATGGAAAGATTAATAAGGAATAAACTAAAAGACGATAAAGGAGGATGAGAATAATATTCAAAAGAATTATAAGAGTAATGAATGGAAAAAAAGTATGAGCATTATTTTAAGAAAGGATGGAGAACATGAAGACAAAAGAAGATAGAGAAGGAATACAAGGACAAAGATGGAGAAAAATAATACCTCACACCATGTGAAAGATAAACATACACAACTAGAAGGGAATTTAGATGAGGACAAGAGGTAGAAAGCTGAAAAAATAACAAGACAAACAACAGATGGACAGAGAAGGCAAGGGAAGATTAATAAAAAGACGAAGAGACTTTGGAGAATGAGAAGGAAAGTAGAGGATAAAAATTAAAGATAAAAGGAAAAAAGGTGGAAAATAGAAGGGGAAAACATAAAGAAGAAAAAATATAAGGAAAATAAGAAAAAAGATGGACACAGAGAATAATGCGAAATAAAAAAGAGAAAGATGAGAAGAAGAAAGAGTAGATAAAGAAAAATGAAATGGGAAGATAGGTGGAAGGAAAAAATAGGGATGAAGAGGATGTATAGATAACAATAAGGAATGAACTAAAAGAAGATAAAGAAAGGTGACAAGGATAATAATAGAAAGAGAGAATTATAAAAGTTAAGAGAACATAAGAGGAAGGGAAAAGAAGTATGAGAATTATTTTAGGGAAGGATGGAGAACATGAAAGAAAAAAGGGAAAAACGAAGAAAATGAGAGGAAGATGAGAAAGAGAAGAAGAATAAAATGAAGAAGATAAAGAAGTGAGAAGAAAGCGAATTAATACAAGGACAAGGAGGAGAAGAAAAAGAGAACAACAGTAGATTAAAACGAGGAAAAAGAGCAATAAGAAAAATAAGAAGAAAAGACAAAGAAAAAGAGAAATTGAAGGAATATGGAAAATGAAGAATGAGTGTCAAAATGGAGAAGATAAACATTAAAAGAAAGAAGGTGATGAGGATAAGAGAAAGAAAACGAATGGAGGAAGATATAAAAGGAGAAAGAAGAGGAAGATAAACAAAGAAAATGAAAAGAGTGAGAAAGAGTTTGCAAAATAAGATAAAAATTAATATATATATATATATATATATATATATATATATATATATAGATGGAGATAGAGAGAGAGAAAGAAAGTCAACAAAGAAAAAACGAGAAGGGATAATTAGAGTTGATGAGTAAGAAAAGATGGAGAACACGAAGGAAAAAGAAGGAAAGAAAGAGAGAAATGATTAAGGAAGATGGGAAAGAGAAGAAGAAAATTAAGAACAAAAAAAGACAATGAAGAATGAAATGAGGAGAAAGGCGAAAAGAGGAAGAATGAATATTTTGAAGTAGAAGACAATGAATAAAACAGACAATGAAGAAAAAAGAAAAAGAGAAAGATAAACACGCACAAATGAGAAGGGAAGTTAGATGAGGGGTAAAAAGCCAAAAAAATAATAAAAATAAAATTAACACATGGAATAAACAAAAAGCACATGAATACTAAAGCAGTCTTTTAAACTAAGGCAAGATGTATACACTCTCAGGAAAATAATGCGGTTATTCAAAATGGAGGTACCTTCTTATTTAGAGGGCGAGCCTTAAACTTGGGGAATTTTGTCATCATGTCATCATTTCTTCTTCCAACTCAGCTGAGCCCTTAAGTTTTACTGGACAGTAACGTTGAGCTGTTTCAAGTTCAGGTTCCTTGGGCCTTGTCAGTGTAAGCTTAGGATTCCTCTGCACTGATTCCAGCCATACCATCCTGAAAAATAGTTTAAATTTTTAAAGAAAATGTACTAGAAAAAATAATAGAACTTTCAAGCAAGTTATTTGTATTTATATGTGACACGGAACAATTCAAACGTGGCATTGACATCTCGCATGTACTAGATTCGAACTTCTTCATCATTTCTGCCATTGAAACAAATGGGGCTGTTGGTTCTCGAACACAAATCTGAAATAGAAATTTTCACAACGTATTAGATTCAGAAAATTAATGTCCATAAATGAAATGCAAGGCATAAAAATGCATACTAACCTTTCTGTCTTTTGTACGTGTTTTGACAGTTGAAGTGTTCAGGTGCTGGTAGATTTCCCAGGTCTTGTTGTATGGAGCAAAGTTTGGGGTTTGATGCTAAGGTTCTAAGCAAAAGTGAGAACAAATTCAGGAGATCAGATTAAAAACATGTGAAAAATTCAGGCATTCAAGATTTATTTCAAAGCATAAAAGAACAGAGACAAATTCACAAAGGTAAACACAAAGCTGAAATTAATAAATTAACCATCTCTCCTGAAAGCATTTAATATAAATCAGTTAGTAAATAGTGGTTTCACATACTGTGACAGGCTGGTTATACCATTTGTGTGAAAAGAATGAATTACCTGAAAATGCTATGGAAAACATCCATTCCAATTATAATTGTGAGAATCGATGGAGAACATTCTACTGCCAGCAAGAAATTCATACCACCAAATTACAATAAATCAACAAAATAATTTGAGTAATAAAGTTACTGAAATTTCTTTGTTTTTTTTTTTTTTTTGCAGAACACTATTGAATTATATGAATGGAATACCTTGGCATTGATTTTCAGTAGACGTTGGTGCAATCTTATTTTTTCAGGTTCCTTGGGCCTTGTCAGTGCAATCTTAGGCTCCCTCTGCACTGACCCAGCCATACCATCCTGAAAAATACTTCAAATTTTTAAAGAAAACGTACTAGAAAAATAATAAAACTTTTAAGCAAGTTACATGTGACATGGAACAATTCATGCATGGCATTGACATCTCCCTTGTACTAGATTCAAACTTCATCATTTCTGCCGTTGAAATAAATGGGGCTGCTGGTTCAAGTTGCAGGTCGATTTCCCAGGTCTTGTTTTATGGAGTAAAGTTTGGGGATTGATGCTAAGGATCTAAGCAAAAGTGAGAACAAATTGAGAAGATGAGATTAAAAATATGTGAAAAATGATACACTTAAAAAGGTAAAAAAATTTAGTCAATAAATGACCCACCTGTCTAGCTTTTTCCCTCTTCAAGTTTTTGCCTCTTTATAGCTTGATTTTCTTGAGCAAAATTTGGAATTTCATATGTAATTCTAATATTTGCATTCCTGTGAATCAATAAATTGACAAGAAACATATTACACAGATACCAGCTCACCAAAATAAAGAGATATAGAACAAAACAAGACAAATATGGGAAGTAAAAGAATGATATCTACCTTCTTGCACAAGCAGGATTAATGCTTATCACATGTGATTGGGTTGCTGACTTCAATGCAGAGGGGTTCCTGATCATACTTGCTACTTCTTTTAGCTGTCTGGTGCTTCTTAGCATCAGTTTGTTCGGCTGTTTTCTAAGAAGTTATTTTTGGTGGCTGAGGGGTGCATGCTGCTGTTAAATAATCTCAGCAGTCAGTGAAACTAAGTTGGCTTTGTCAGTGAAGCTTAATTGAGGCATACCAAATGGTATAAACGAAGTTGATATTCACAGAGTGGAGCAAACCTTGAAGTGAGGACGGCTTCTTACAGGATCCTTGAGAACTGATATATTACAGCAGAAACAGAACCATGAACAGCTGACTGCTTGTCACCAGATCCCCGAGAAATTAGCGAAATGTAATAAGAATCATAACGCCCAAAACAACAGTAGAATACTATACAGATGGGCAAAACATATCAAATTGCTTCCCCGTCGGGAGTCACTTCTTGAGAGAGAGAGAGAGAGAGAGAGAGAGAGAGAGAGAAGGTCAACAAAGAAAAATCGAGAAGGGATAGGAATTAGAGTGGGTGAGTGAGAAAGGATGGAGAACATGAAGGAAAAAGAAGGAAAGAAAGAAACAAATAAGGAAGATGGGAAAGAGAAGAATAAAATTAAGATGAGAAAAGGGGGGATAGAACAACAAGAAAGAAATTGATAAATATTAGAACGAAAAGTAAAAGAAAAATAGAGTTAGAGTAGTAGATTATGAGCTGAGCTGAGCACATAAGTTTTATTGGACAGTAATGTTGAGCTGTTTCAAGTTCAGGTTCCCTTGTCAGTGTAAGCTTAGGCTTCCTCTACACTGATCCAAGCCATACCATCCTGAAAAATAGTTCAAATTTTTAAAGAAAACGTACTAGAAAAACAATAAAACTTTTAAGCAAGTGATTTGTATTTACATGTGACATGGAACAATTCATGTGTGGCATTGACATCTGACTTGTACTAGATTCAAACTTCCTCATTATTTCTGCCATTGAAATAAATGGGGCGTTCTCAAACATAAATCTGAAATAGAGATTTTCACCATGTATTAGATTCAGAAATTAATGTCCACAAATGAAATGCAAGAGATAAAAATGCATACTAACCTTTCTGCTTATCCTCGGATCATAGCTTCATCTCCATCCTCATCATCATCTGCCATTTCTCTATCAGACTCATCGTCATCATCATCACTTTGAAATCAGTCCATCTCAACCTCATCTTTAGCTTCCTCTGCCTTTGCAGCTTCTGAAGATTTAGAAGGTAGAAAATGATATCAAACATTAAGAGAATAATCGAATATACCATCTAAAGTGCAAATGAAACAAATAGAAAAACCAGTATGGGAAGAACATAGGAAAAAAAAATTAAAATAGTTACTTACCAGCAAGTTGCTCGTTGTGCATACAAGGAGGTCAAGAATGGCCTTAAAAATGCCCTCTAAGGTTGCTGCTGGCATTTGATCAGCAGGAAGACTGAGCAATGATGTCAAACCCAAGCAGCAAACCTTCTTCTCATGCTCCCTGCAATACCAACATGGTAAGTATTAGAAACCCATCACTTTCCTTAGCTTTGTTTTTCTTATGCCTTTTACATCTCTCCACAAGAACTACAAGACCAACATATTGCTACCTTTTAGAATTAGCCCGAGCTTCACTTTTTTTAGTTTGTTGTAGCATATGGAACCAAAGATTGAAGATCTCTGTAGCAACACCAAGCAGTATGCTCAGTGTAAATGAAGGGTTATAGTAAAGAGCATCAGCAATCTGTCAATAAGAAACAAATTTAGAAGTTATTTCACAGGAAAAGGACACAAACACAGAACGTGTGAATCTGTAGGGGAAAATATAGAAAAAAGTAGATCCACTAAAAAATAAAGTATCTAGTAATTATTTGGTTTTAATACAGTAGACTTCATGTATCATTTAAAGATATTTCACACCCAGCTCATATATCAGGCATATGCAGAACTGCAAGTGCACTCACAACCTTCCATTGAAATTTGAACTCATTTACATGCCAATGTGACCTATGCCTCCTAAACAGGAACAAAGGCAAAGAAACGAGTTCAAATCACAATATTACTTGTTAGATTATTAGCCACAAATAAGTCTTCTAATCATGCAAAGGAACAGTACACACATAATCTCCATGTTTTATAGACTGGGAACCACTTTACAAAAAAAAAAAAAAACAGGGGAAACAAATGAATATGTATAAACAGAGAAATATTTAAGTATCTTACCACTTGGATCAGGAGGCACTTCAAGTATGGTGTTTCACTTCGATGCAGACATTCAATTGAGATTCTGAGATATGGCTCAACCCAGTGATCGACCTGTACTTTGCAGTTTTGGAATGGAACTTCGATGAGCTTAGGTGCAGACTCGATGTCACTATCTTCTATGTTTTTGTCCCATCAATTTCAGGTTTTCTCTGAGTTCTCTCTATATAGACCTGAAAAGTGAAAAATGCATATTATGGCTACAAGATGATTCTTGTGTTCCACTGACATGTGCATGTGCATTGAAGGCCCTGGATATAAAACCAAAGATCATTGGTGAATAATAAAGAAATACTACTCTATACAAAAAGCTATAATAAGCAGACACAATACTTACGAAAGGGGAAGGGGGACAAGCTTGGGAATCCAATACATTTTAAAAATCAGAAAAGGTGCCCAGGCAGATATGTAAGAAAATACACATTTGCAAATGGTTTTCAACTTTAAAATCTGTTTTAAACCATCCAGAGCAGTATCAGGGTTTGATCGTCCTCTAGAGCATGCAGAAGTGTCGGAACAATCTCATCAATTGCTTGCATTCAGGAAAGCAGTAAGAAATTTTTCATACAGGAAAGGCACAAACATCCTTCAATACATATGATGTTTCGTATCATACATAATAACTTCAATACGTTGTGAATTTAGTAATCGTTTCAAGATAATCTTTGACGAAACAAATGTTTCATGTTTCATGTTTTCCAGGCATAATCCTAAATTGTTCAGAAAGATCAAAGGGGAGCAAATGAAAAAGGTGCATACTTTGGAATATGGATGAAGGTTGGCCATCATGGATCATCAATCTTCACTCCAACTTCTCCACAATTCATTCAACCTCTCTATGATAGCCTGCAGTTTCAGCACAAATCAAACATCCATTTTTTCTGCAAAATCTATGCAAAGTACACTTCACTAGAGCAAGGATAAGGCACAAGAAAGATCCTTCTTCTCGCGATTACACTCACCTTCTGGCTTGTTTTTTGGAGCTCCCCAGCGAGAATGAATTCATCTAAGATTATATATACCTTCATAGGAAAACAATCAATCAGAAGTATAAATTACAATGCAGCATACACAAGGTGAATACACTAGAAATAAAAGAAAATACAGAGATTCACAATGAGAAAGACTGACAAACCATACCTTGTGAAAGTTAAAAACCAAATCTAACTCCCAGACATTACTAAAAAAGTGATCCAGTATCTCCACAAACAAGTGGATGCACTCCAAATAAGCCAACTCGTTGTCCGTCATTTCAACACAGCGAGAATTGCACTTTTAACTTGCCATGGGACCCTATTATATGAATCAACGGCGTACACCAAATAACAATCTAGAATGACCTTACACTTGTGATCCAAAGGTTCAGACAAATGTAGAGGACTGTTTTATAGTTGATACACTAACAAAGGGCACAGTTCACTGCATACCATAAATAGGCAACATAATGTCTACGTATAGCTTATTTTGTTGGTTGCAATCCTTTTAATAGTCTCATAGTCAAAACTAGCAATGTGTAGAAATATAGTAACAGCTCATACCCTGTGATTGGAATGAAAAACTCCTTTAATGCTTGCTCACTTCTCACTTCAATTAACTCTCCACGGCCCAAAGCTGCTTTCTGTTATAATTCAGCAGATCCAAGAGACCCTACGATAGATAATAAAGGAAATTCACATAACCATGCAATCAAAGCTCAACAATCTTGCATTCCAAATACTTGTTACCAATGCTTGTAATAATGCAAAACAGATTCCAAAAACGACAACAGCAATAATAAAAACAATCTTTTTGTATCATTAATAGATTATACATAGTTTCTTACATATAATAATTCTTGGAAGAATTTCTATGCTATAATTATTAAATATTAGAAAATTTGGTATACAAATGAAGAGATTCTTTCAATTTATATATTAAGTTCACAAACAAAAGATAAGCAGGAATACCTGGAGGAACATAGGAAGCACAGGTTGAAGAGCTTTCCGGGGGCAAAACCAGGTATTTTAACTGGTCCTCCCTGCATATTTCTATACATCACGAACCAACTTTATATATGAAGGAAGAACTTCTTTAGGAACTGAACTTATCACACTAGACAATGCTTCCCCTTTCGTAAGTATTGTGACATGGAACAATTCAAGCTTGGCATTGACGTCTCCCTTGTACTAGATTCGAACTTCTTCATAAATGAAATGCAAGACATAAAAATGCATACTAACCCATTCTGTCTTCGGTACGTGTTTCAGCAGTTGAAGTGAAAGTGTCGCCGGTAAATTTCCCAGGTCTTGTTTTATGGAGCAAAGTTTGGGGTTTGATGCTAAGGATATAAGCAAAACTGAGAACAAATTGAGGAGATCATATTAAAAATATGTGAAAAATGATATAAAAATTTTTAGTCAATAAATGACTCACCTGTCTAGCTTTCCCCTCTTCAAGTTTTTGCCTCCTTATAGCTTGATTTTATTGAGCAAAATTTGGAGTTTCAGATGTAATTTACATGTGTTCCTGTGAATCAACAATTGATAAGAAACATTTTACACAGATTCCAGCACAACAAACAAAGAGATATAGAACAAAACTAGACAAATATGGAAACTAAAAGAGAGATATCGACCTTCTTGCACTAGCTGGATTAAATGCTTTTCACTTGTGATTCAGAATTTGACTTCAATGCAGAGGGGTTTGAGATCATACTTGCTATTGTTTAGCTGTCTGGTGCTTCTTAGCAATTAGCATCAGTTCATTGGGCTATTTTCTGAGAAGTTATTTTTTGTTGCTGAAGGGTGCATGCTCCCGTTGAATAATCTCAGCAGTCAGTGAAACTACGTTGGCTTTGTCAATGAAACTTAATTGAGGCAAACCAAAAGTATAAACGAAGTTGATATTCACAGAGTAGAGCAAACCATGGAGTGAGGACAATTTCTTACAGCATCCCTGGGAAGTTATCGAAATGTAATAAGAATCATAACCCCCCAAACAACAGTAGAATACTATGCAGATGGATCAAAACATACCAAATTAGCTTCCCCGTCAGGAGTCACTTCTTCCTATCAACATGGCTCAAAAGTTAAGGCTCATTATACAAATTCCAGTGCATTAGTGCCCAAATTATAGAATTGAGAATCAGACCAATTGTGAAATCCTATATATACAGGCATTCAAGATTTATTTCAAAGCATAAAAGAACATAAGAGACAACAAAAAGCTGAAAAGGCATACAGGAAAAACAAAAAAAAAAAGATAAAAATTAAACATAAGAAAGAAAAGGCACACTCTCAAATCTAAATCAGTGAATACCAAATCCATAGACAGAAGAGACGAAGCCACCACCAAGGTTGCAACTGATATTTTCAGTAGTCGTTGGTCGACATAGCCGCTACAAAGAAAACAGGAGACATTAGTAGAGAAAAACTAAATAACATATTATATACAAGCACACAGAGTGAGAGAAAGAAAAAAAAAAAAAAAAAAAAAAAAAAAAAAAAAAAGAAGAAGAAGAAGATCAAAATTAAACACAAGAAAGAAAAGACACTCTCAAAACTAAATCAGTGAATACCAGATCCATAGAGAGAAGAGACGAAGCCACCACCAAGGTTGTGATATTTTCAGTAGCTGTTGGTCGACATAGCTGCTACAAAGAAAACAAGAGACTTTAGTAGAGAAAAACTCCATAACATATTATATACAAGCACACAGAGTGAGGGAAAAAAAAGATCAAAATTAAACATAAGAAAGAAAACATACTAGAAAAATAATAAAACTTTTAAGCAACTTACATGTGGCATGGAACAATTCATGCATGGCATTGACATGGAACAATTCATGCATGGCATTGACATTTCCCTTGTACTAGATTCGATCTTCTTCATCATTTTTGCAAATTGAAATAAATGGGGGTGCTGGTTCACGAACATAAATCTGAAATAGAGATTTTCACCATGTATTAGATTCAGAAAATTAATGTCCATAAATGAAATGCAAGGCATAAAAATGCATACTAACCTTTCAGCTTATCCTCGGATCATAGCTTCATTTCCATCCCTCATCATCATCTGCCATTTCACTATCAGACTCCTCGTCATCATCATCACTTTGAAATCCATCCATCTCAACCTCATCTTTAGCTACCTCTCCCTTTGCAGCTTCTGAAGATTTAGAAGGTAGAAAATGATATCAAACATTAAGAGAATAATCGAATATACCATCAAAAGTGCAAATATAATAATTCTTGGAAGAATTTCTATGCTATAATTATTGAATATTAGAAAATTTGGTATACAAATGAAGAGATTCTATCAATTTATATTTTAAGTTCACAAACAAAAGATAAGCAGGAATACCTGGAGGAACATAGGAAACACAGGTTGAAGAACTTTCCGGGGGCAAAAACCAGGTATTAGAACCTAACACAGATCTTACCAATCCTAGTTGTGAGTGCACTTAGTTTACCAAGGGCAAGAGCAGCACTTGATCGAACAGTCCTGCAAACAACTTGCATAGCATGAGCTAGGAATATACATCGTAGTACCGAACCAAACATACTAAATGAGTCTCAAGATGAACCGAAAAACCATAAGTATTAGAATCTAACCTTAACCTTGTATTATCCTGCAAACACTTAACGAATGTCGTTTGAAGCTGGGGAAGAAATATCCTCACGAATTCCAACATCTGAAGCCTGCTGCCCATATCACCACAATATTAGATTTTGAAAGTTAAAACTAAAGAAAAAAAAAGCATAAGAAGAAGTATGTCACCTGTAAAGCACATAAAAGATCACTAACCAAAGGATCAATCCTAGTTGTGAGTGCACTTAGTTTACCAAGGGCAAGGGCAGCACTTGATCGAACAGTCCTGCAAACAACTTGCATAGCATGAGCTAGGAATATATATACATCGTAGTACTGAACCGAACAGAATAAACGAGTCTCAAAAAGAACTAAAAACCATAAGTATTAAAAGCTAACCTTGTAATATCCTGCAAACACTTAACAAATGTTGTTTGAAGCTGGGGAAGAATTGAACTTTTATCTTGCCATGGGAATCTGTCCCCTATTATACGAATGAACGACCTACACCAAATAACAATTCATGAACAAGCAATCTAGAATGGCGTTAAACTGGTGACCCAAAGGTTCAGACAAGTAGAGGACTGTTTTATAGTTGATACACTAATAAAGGGCATAGTTCACTGCATACCATATATAGGCAACGTAATGTCTACGTATATTTTGTTGGTTGCAATCCTTTTAATAGTGTCTGGTCAAAACTAGCAATGTGTAGAACTATAGTAACAGCTCATACCCTGTGATTGGAATGACAAACTCCTTTAATGCTTGATCACCTGTCACGTCAATTAACTCTCCAAGGCCTAAAGCTGCTTGCTCTCTTAATTTAGAAGATCCACTTATAAGACCCCCTACAGATAGTAGAGGAAATTTACATTACCATGCAATCAAAGCTCAACAATCTTGCATTCTTAATACTTGTGGCCAATGCTTGTAATAATGGTATACAAATGAAGAGAAACTATGAAAACTTTAAGTTCACAAACAAAAGATAAGCAGGAATACCTGGAAGAAAATAGGAAGCACAGGTTGCAGAGACTTCCAGAGGCAAAAACCAGGTATTAGAACTGGTCCTCCCTGCATGTTTGCAAATCAACAGGAAGCATAAACAATAAACAGGTTGTACCACCATTTGGAGTAAAATGCACACTCCTTTACCTTTTTATTCCTACGTTCTTTATCCCTGGAAGTTGATACTGCATCAAAACCAACTTTATATACAAAGGAAGAACTTCTCTAGGAACTGATCTTATCACACTAGACGATGCTCCCTAAGGTCAACCTGTAAAAGAGCATGGCAAGATAAACTAGTACATTGAAGTGCGGTGTATAAATGTCATGCAATGAATCAAAATAATACCATCACGGTAGCTGAATCTGAATCAGGTTGGATATCACATTTGGAGCCTCATCAACAAGATATAGATCGCTGGTTTTGGATAAATATCCAATTAAGCATGCAGAACTTTGTCTGATTGATGCCTGGAAGAATAAAACGTAAATAGTGTTAGCTAAAGAATGGGAATAAAAAGAAAAGAAAGTCACATAATCATTATGTAAAACAATAAATCATGCCTGAATATCAGTATAGCCCATTGCAGTGAGTAAAGCATGAAGGATGGTACCAAGGTGGACATCAAGACCAGGTCCAGCAACCTCTGCTAAAGCTCCCAAAGCATGTGCATTGAGAAGGCACTGGATATAAAGCACTCTCACATGAAAACACTCTATCTAAAGTTCAGAAGCAAACTGAATCATGAATAGGGGGAAGAAATGACCCAGCAATCACAATGTCTTCTTCAATCCTATGACATGAACACTCAATCCATCTTCTTTACGCGTAAAATCGAAAGAAATTCTAGAGATTCAAAGTCTCAAACAGAAGCAGGCATAATCCTAAATGTTCAGAAAGATCAAAGGGGAGCAAATGAAAAAGGTGCATACTTTGGAATATGGATGAAGGTTGGCCATCATGGATCATCAATCTTCACTCCAACTTCTCCAATTCATTCAACCTCTCTATGATAACCTGCAGTTCCAGAAGAAATCAAACATCCATTTTTTCTAAAAAATCTATGCAAAGTACATTTCACCAGAACAAGGATAAGGCGCGAGAAAAATCCTTCTTCTTGCGATTACTCTCACCTTCTTACTTGTTTCTTGGAGCTCCCCAGCGAGAACGAATTCATCTTAGATTAGATATACCTTCATAGGAAAACAATGCAGCATACAAAAGGTAAATACACTAGAAGTAAAAGAAATACAGAGATTCACAATGAGAAAGACTGACAAACCATACCTTGTGAAAGTTAAAAACCAAATCTAACCTTGCATTATCCTGCAAACACTTAACAAATGTTGTTTGAAGCTGGGGAAGAAAAGGCATTAGGGCCAACCCACCCTTCCGTATTATGATGCTCAAAGTTGAGAGAATTGGCACTTTTAACTTGGAATGGGAATCTGTCCCCTATTATACGAATCAATGACCTACACCAAATAACAATTCATGAACAAGCAATCTAAAATGGCCTTACACTGGTGAGCCAAAGGTTCAGACAAGTAGAGGACTGTTTTATAGTTCATACACAAATAAAGGGCATAGTTCACTGCATACCATAAATAGGCAACGTAATGTCTACGTATAGCTTATTTTGTTGGTTGCTATCCATTAATAGTCTCATAGTCAAAACAAGCAATGTGTAGAACTATAGTAACAGTTCATACCCTGTGATTGGAATGACAAACTCCTTTAATGCTTGCTCACTTGTCTCATCAATTAACTCTCCAACGCCAAAAGCTGCTTGCTCTCTAAATTCAGCAGATCCACTTATAAGACCCTACAGATGATGGAAATTCATATAACCATGCAATCAAAGCTCAACAATCTTGCAATCCTAATACTTGTTACCAATGCTTGTAATAATGGGAAACAGATTCCAAAAACGACAACAGCAATAATAAAAACAATCTTGATGTAGGATTAATAGAATTAATATACTAATTCTTGGATGGATTTCTGCGCAATAATTATAAAATATTAGAAAATGAAGAGATTCTTTCAATGTAAACTTTTAAGTTCACAAACAAAAGATAAGCAGGAATACCTGGAGGAAAAAAGGAAGAGAGCTTTCCGGAGGCAAAAACCAGGTATTAGAACTGATCCTCCCCGCATGTCTGAATACATCACAAACTAACTTTATATACAAAGGAAGAACATCTTTAGGAACTGAACTTATCACACTAGACAATGCTTCCCAAGGAATCTGTAAAGGAGCACAGTAAGATACTAAGATAAACAAGTACATTGAAGTGCATTGTATTAATGTCATGCAATGAATCAAAATAATACCGTCACGGTAGCTGAATCTGAATCACTCCAAGTATGCAGAACTTTGTCTGATTAAATCCTGGAAGAAAAAAACTTAAATAGTGTTAGCTAAAGAATGCAATACAAAGAAAGAAAGTCACATTATCATTATGTAAAATAATAAATCATGCCTGAATATCTCCAACTCCTTTAAGAACCTCCGACAGCAAAAACTCTATACCTTCCTCATCATTTACAGTGACAACTGCTTTCTTGGTGAGACTTTCAATCTCCTATATTTTCAAGGTAAAAGCATTACAAATGCAAATTATGCAACGGCTCAAATTTACAAATGAAATTAAGCAATGACTCAAATTTAAATGATGTAAACGAAGAAACCAAGTAAATGGCATTATGGGCATAAAAATTAGGTTCCTACCATAATATAAGTATAGCCCATTGCAGTGAGTAAAGCAGGTCCAGCAACCTCTGCTAAAGCTCCCAAAGCATGTGCATTGAGGCACTGGATATAAAACCAAAGATCTTTGGAAATAATAAAGAAATACTAGTATACAAAACGCTATAAGAAACAGATACAATACTTACGAAAGAGGAATGTGGACACAAGCTTGGGAAGGATATGAGGCAGCACAGCACTGGTCCTGACACTGAAAAAAGCATCCAATACATTATAAAAATCAGAAAAGGTGCCCAGGCAGAAATGTAAGAAAAAACACATTTGCAAACGATTATCAACCTTAAAATTTATTTCAAACCATCCAGAGCAGTATCAGAGATTTGATTGTCATCAAGAGCATGCAGAAGTGTCGGAACAATCTCATCAATTTCTTGCATTCCAGCAGTCTACACAAGGAACCATCATCAATTCATCATCAAACTAATATTCACACACCAAGAACTAACTAGTGGTACCTTGTAGAGAGTGCTGAATGCCAACCCTGCCGATTCACGAACCTCAGGTCATGCTATAACATCAGAAAATCAGTAAGAAATTTTTCATACAGGAAAGCAGAAACAAAATTGCTTCCTTCAATACAAGTAAACAATCTCAAACCCTATCACAAAGTGCTGTCCGAATGATAGGGATAAGCTTGCGCATGAAACTCAGCAACTGGCTATTCCCAGCACTTGCCATCACTTACTTAAACCAATGCAAACACCCTGAAATCAAGTTCCATTACATTAAAGGCTTTGGTAGATTTGAAGAATTCAACAAATAGTGAATAAGAGAAAGAAAGAAGAAGGTGCAATCAGTTGAAGAACAAAGCAGGAATACCTGGAGGGAAATAGGAAGCATAGGTTGAAGAGCTTTCCAGAGGCAAAAACCAGGTATTAGAACTGGTCCTCCCACAGCATGTTTGTATACATCACGAACCAACTTTATTTACGAGGAAGAACTCCTTTAGGAACTGAACTTATAACACTAGACAATGCTTCCCAAGCAATCTGTAAGATAAACCACTAAATTGAAGTGCATTGTAATAATGTCATGCAATGAATCAAAATAGTGTTAGCTAAAGAATACAATACAAAGAAAGAAAGTCAACACTATCATTATGTAAAACAATAAATCATGCCTGAATATCTCCAACTCCATTAAGAACCTCCAACAGCAAAATCTCGATACCTTTCTCATCAATTACAGTGACAACAGTTTCTGCTGCTTTCTTGGCGAGACTTTGAACCTCCTATATTTGATGTGAACGAGGAAACCAAGTAAATGGTATTATGGCATAAAAATTAGGTTCCTACCATATCAGGTTAGCCCAAATCAGGGTTTGTTCCTAACATACTTTTGTGCAACCTTGTCCAAATCAGGGTTTGTTTCAAGAATCTTCTGGGCAAGCTTGTTTGCATATTACTCTACATCGGGCCCGGCTGCAGATTTAGGGGAAATAAACTGTTTTAGAAGTATATATCATTATAGACACATGCACAGTAAAACTATAATGGCATTTCACCTCCTCACAAGAAAAGGATGGTTGCAATGGTTGCAACACTGTCTCAGTCTGAGTAGCAACTCATGAATGTTTGCAAAGTTGTGAAGAACACTACCTCCCTTCCTTGTCCTTTGTTTCCTTTGTTCTCCTAAGCATTAATGGCCTAAGAATTGCCTTGATCAGTTTCAATGCTCTCTGATCACCATTCTCATAAGGTCTCTGTATTAACTTATTCCACCTAAAAGATAGCAAACATTTAAGTAATTCAGTTAAACTTATTAGCATGTATATATACAGTTAGTAATATAGAAAACATACCATGCGTTTAGGGTTTAGGGTTTCCTTGATCAGTTTCAATGCTCTCTGATCACCATTCTCATAAGGTCTCTATATTAACTTATTCCACCTAAATGATAGCAAACATTTAAGTAATTCAGTTAAACTTATTAGCATGTATATATACAGTTAGTAATATAGAAAACATACCATGCCCAATTGCACCATGGCTCAACATGCAAGAAACACAGAAGGCTGTAAAGATCTTGCAAATTATTCTGCAGCAATTAGTGAGGACATCATTAACATAAATCAGATTTCTATCAAATGAGACGGTCTTATGAAAGCCTCATTTTTTTAGGAAATATGATAAATGGGAACTTAGATGAGGAAACATACCTGAAGTGGAATACCAGTGAGACACCACCTGCAATGTGCAGACAATGTGAATGCAGCCCTAGCACTCACAGTTCTCCAGGATTTTATGGTGAGTGCTTCATCCAGTACAATTCGATGCCAATCAACTTCATGGAATATGCTACTCTCCGCATCCTAAATCACAGTTAAAAACTGGTTAATGCACATAGAACCAAATGAACAGAATAAATACACTTTCAAGCTCATGGGAAAAACATTGATACTGATCTGAAAAAGGCTGGATTACTTACAGCCTTATATGCAGCAGTTAGAAGACCATAGGTTGTCAAGACCACATCTGTTTCTACTATCACTCTAGGGTCATTACTTCTTTCCCCACCATAATGAACAAAAACAGAAATGCTATCTGGCTTTGAATGGGCTTCAAGTTCATCCTGTTATGAGAATTATAATCAATGCTATCTGGCTTTGAACGGACTTCAAGTTCATATTGACATTAAGCAAGAAAGGGGCTACAGACTAAAAAACTCACCTTCCATTGACCAAGTAATGCCATAGGATGAACAATGAAGAGCCACACCTTCCATTGACCAAGTAATGCCATAGGACGAACAATGAAGTGACACACCCTCCATTGACCAAGTAATGCCATAGGACAAACAATGAGAGTGCCACCTTTAATCCTTCTGTTCCTAGAATGCTAAGTAATAGGCATGTCCTCAGCAAGTTCTTGATTATCAGGGATACCCTTGCCCGGCCTAGCAAGTATTAGAGCAATTGTCATTACAGTTTACCCCAGGCCCATAGCATCTTCTAAGATCTGCAGAAACCACATTTCGCAGAGAGATTAATATATGCAACAACAACAAAAACCAGGACATCAAGATATTAAATTGGAGTAACAAAATAAAACTCACTCCCCCTCTTGCTGTTTCCAATGCAGAAGGAAATTCTGCAGTTGCTTCACCAGAGAAAATGTTCACACTCCTTCACGAACCAACTTTATATACGAAGGAAGAACTCCTTCGGAAATGAACTTATCGCACTAAACAATGCTTCCCAAGCAATCTGTAAAGGAGCACGGTAAGATAAACCAGTACATTGAAGTGCATTGTATTAATGTCATGCAATGAATCAAAATAATACCGTCACGGTAGCTGAATATGAATCACTTTAAGTATGCAGAACTTTGTCTGATTAAATCCTGGAAGAATAAAACTTAAATAGTGTTCGCTAAAGAATGCAATACAAAGAAAGAAAGTCACATTATCATTATGTAAAACAATAAATCATGCCTGAATATCTCCAACTCCTTTAAGAACCTCCGACAGCAAAAACTCGATACCTTCCTCATCAATTACAGTGACAACAACAGTTTCTGCTGCTTTTTTGACGAGACTTTCAATCTCCTATATTTTCAAGGTAAAAGCATTACATATGCAAATTATGCAACGGCTCAAATTTACAAATGAAATTAAGCAATGACTCAAATTTAAATGATGTAAACGAGGAAACCAAGTAAACGGCATTATGGGCATAAAAATTAGGTTCCTACCATAATATAAGTATAGCCCATTGCAGTGAGTAAAGCAGGTCCAGCAACCTCTGCTAAAGCTCCCAAAGCATGTGCATTGAGGCACTGGATATAAAACCAAAGATCTTTGGAAATAATAAAGAAATACTAGTATACAAAACGCTATAAGAAACAGATACAATACTTACGAAAGAGGAATGTGGACACAAGCTTGGGAAGGATATGAGGCAGCACAGCACTGGTCCTGACACTGAAAAAAGCATCCAATACATTATAAAAATCAGAAAAGGTGCCCAGGCAGAAATGTAAGAAAAAACATATTTGCAAACGATTTTCAACCTTAAAATCTGTTTCAAACCATCCAGAGCAGTATCAGAGATTTGATCGTCATCAAGAGCATGCAGAAGTGTCGGAACAATCTCATCAATTTCTTGCATTCCAGCAGTCTACACAAGGAACCATCATCAATTCATCATCAAACAAATATTTAAAATATAAAAACAGGTATGTCAACACACCAAGAACTAACTAGTGGTACCTTGTAGAGAGTGCTGAATGCCAATCCTGCCGATTCACGAACCTCAGGTCATGCTATAACATCAGAAAATCAGTAAGAAAGTTTTCATACAGGAAAGCAGAAACAAAATTGCTTCTTTCAATACAAGTAAACAATCTCAAACCGATCACAAAGTGCTGTCCGAATGGTAGGGATAAGCTTGTGCATGAAACTCAGAAACTGGTTCTTCCCAGCACTTGCCATCACTTCACTTAAACCAATGCAAACACCCTGAAATCAAGTTCCATTACATTAAAAAAAATTTCATACAGGAAAGCAGAAACAAAATTGCTTCTTTCAATACAAGTAAACAATCTCAAACCTTCACAAAGTGCTGTCCGAATGGTAGGGATAAGCTTGTGCATGAAACTCAGCAACTGGCTCTTCCCAGCACTTGCCATCACTTCACTTAAACCAATGCAAACACCCTGAAATCAAGTTCCATTACATTAAAGGCTTTGGTAGATTTGAAGAATTCAACAAATAGTGAATAAGAGAAAGAAAGAAGAAGGTGCAATCAGTTGAAGAACAAAGCAGGAATACCTGGAGGGAAATAGGAAGCACACGTTGAAGAACTTTCCGGAGGCAAAACCCAGGTATTAGAACTAGTCCTCCCAGCATGTTTGTATACATCACGAACCAACTTTATTTAGGAAGGAAGAACTCCTTTAGGAACTGAACTTATAACACTAGACAATGCTTCCCAAGCAATCTGTAAGATAAACCACTAAATTGAAGTGCATTGTAATAATGTCATGCAATGAATCCAAATAGTGTTAGCCAAAGAATACAATACAAAGAAAGAAAGTCAACATTATCATTATGCAAAACAATAAATCATGCCGGAATATCTCCAACTCCATTAAGAACCTCCGACAGCAAAATCTCGATACCTTTCTCATCAATTACAGTGACAACAGTTTCTGCTGCTTTCTTGGCGAGACTTTGAACCTCCTATATTTGATGTGAACGAGGAAACCAAGTAAATGGTATTATGGCATAAAAATTAGGTTCCTACCATATCAGGTTAGCCCAAATCAGGGTTTGTTCCTAACATACTTTTGTGCAACCTTGTCCAAATCAGGGTTTGTTTCAAGAATCTTCTGGGCAAGCTTGTTTGCATATTACTCTACATCGGGCCCGGCTGCAGATTTATGTCCATGCTGTGTTAAAAAATTAAAGATAAAACTGAATAAACCTCGGTGCAAAAACGGAACCCTTGAAATTCCTTCTTCTGATCAATCCTATGAGCACAATCCTGAGCTTGCAAATCAACCTGTGGATTTCTGCAATGTTGGTGAACACAATACCTCGATGGGGGTGTAATACTTGGCCAAACGAGTCTCTCCTTACCAGTTTTGAAGCACAATGAATCGAATCTGCCGATTGCAAGTCCAAACAAAACCATCAACCAATTTCCCAGAAAAATTATTCGAGAGAACACCGAAATGGCAATGCTTGAAATTACCATTTTGATAGAAACCATTGGACCCTAGAGACAAGACTGGGTTGATTCAGTCCAGCGATCAGAGAAAAGAGAGAAGCTTTTCTGTTTTCCCCGCTGTCCGGAACAGTATATTATTTTGTAGTATTTATTTTCGTTTTAAAAAAAATTTACGACCACCAATTTTTTTTTTTTTTGAATGATAGAGAGAAATTATGTTACTACACGTGTTCTAGAAGCACTGCTCACACTTTTGCCAGCATGTTTTATCACTCCTTTGAAAGCAATCAAAATAGCCTCACAAATTCCAACATCTGAAGCCTGCTGCCCATATCACCACAATATTGGATTTTGAAGGTTAAAACCAAAGAAAAGAGAAGAAAAAAAAAAACATAAGATGAAGTATGTCACCTGTAAAGCAGATAAAAGATCACCAACCAAAGGATCAATCCTAATTGTGAGTGCACTAAGTTTACCAAGGGCAATAGCAGCACTTGATCGAACAGTCCTGCAAACAACTTACATAACATAACAGAATAAACGAGTCTCAAAAAGAAATGAAAAACCATAAGTATTAAAAGCTACCCTTGTAATATCCTGCAAACACTTAACAAATGTTGATTGAAGTTGGGGAAGAAAAGGCTTTAGGGCCAACCCACCCATCCATATTATGATGCTCAAAGTTGAGAGAATTGAACTTTTAACTTGCCATGGGAATCTGTCCCCTATTTATACGAATCAACGGTGTACACCAAATAAAAATTCATGAACAAGCAATCTAGAATGGCGTTACACTGGTGACCCAAAGGTTCAGACAAGTAGAGGACTGTTTGATAGTTGACACACTAATAAAAGGAATAGTTCACTGCATACCATAAATAGGCAACGTAATGACCACGTATAGCTTATTTTGTTGGTTGCAATCCCTTTAATAGTCTCATAGTCAAAACTAGCAATGTGTAGAACTATAGTAACAGCTCATACCCTGTGATTGGAATGACAAACTCCTTTAATGCTTGCTCACTTGTCACTTCAATTAACTCTCCAAGGCCCAAAGCGGCTTGCTTTCTTAATTCAGCAGATCCACTTGTAAGACCCTACAGATAATAAAGGAAATTCACATAACCATGCAATCAAAGCTCAACAATGTTGCATTCTTAATACTTGTGGCCAATGCTTGTAATAATGTGAAACAGATTCCAAAACGACAACAGCAATAATAAAAACAATCTTTATGTATGATTAATAGATTATACTTAGTTTCTTACATATAATAATTCTTGGAAGGATTTCTCTGCGATAATTATTAAATATTAGAAAATTTGGTATACAAATGAAGAGATTCTTTCAATGTAAACATTAAGTTCACAAACAAAAGATAAGCAGGAATACCTGGAGGAAAATAGGAAGCACAGGTTGAAGAGCTTTCCAGAGGCAAAAACCAGGTATTAGAATTGGTCCTCCCAGCATGTTTCTATACATCACAAACCAACTTTATATATGAAGGAAGACTTCTTCAGGAACTGAACTTATCACACTAGACAATGCTTCCCAAGCAACCTGTAAAAGAGCATGGTAAGATAAACTAGTACATTGAAGTGCATTGTATAAATGTCATACAATGAATCAAAATAACCGTCACGGTAGCTGAATCTGAATCACTTAGTAAAATAATCAGGGTGGATATCACATTTGGAGCCTCAACAACAAGATATAGATCACTGGTTTTGAATAAATATCCAATAAAGTATGCAGAACTTTGTCTGACTGAATCCTGAAAAGAATAAAACTTAAATAGTGTTAGCTAAAAAATGCAAAACAAAGAAAAGAAAGTCACATTATCATTATTCAAAACAATAAATCATGCCTGAATATCTCCAACTCCTTTGAGAAGCCCCGACAGCGAAGACTTGATACCTTCCTCTTCAATTACAGTGACAACAGTTTCTGCTGCTTTCTTGGCGAGACTTTGAACCTCCGATATTTTCAAGGTGAAAGCATGACACATGCAAATTATGCAATGAAAAAAAAAACACAAATCAACTTAAGCAATGACTCAAATTTAAATGATGTGAAAGACGAAACCAAGTAAATGGCATAAAAATTAGGTTCCTACCATATCAGTATAGCCCATTGCAGTGAGTAAAGCATGAAGGATGGTACCAAGGTGGACATCAAGACCAGGTCCAGCAACCTCTGCTAAAGCTCCCAAAGCATGTGCATTGAGAAGGCACTGGATATAAAGCACTCTCACATGAAAACACTCTCTATCTAAAGTTCAGAAGCAAACTGAATCATGAATAGGGGGAGGAAATGACCCAGCAATCACAATGTCTTCTTCAATCCTATGACATGAACACTCAATCCATCTTCTTTACGCGTAAAATCGAAAGAAATTCTAGAGATTCAAAGTCTCAAACAGAAGCAGGCATAATCCTAAATGTTCAGAAAGATCAAAGGGGAGCAAATGAAAAAGGTGCATACTTTGGAATATGGATGAAGGTTGGCCATCATGGATCATCAATCTTTACTCTAACTTCTCCAATTCATTCAACCTCTCTATGATAGCCTGCAGTTCCAGAAGAAATCAAACATCCATTTTTTTCTGCAAAATCTATGCAAAGTACATTTCACCAGAACAAGGATCAGGCGCGAGAAAAATCCTTCTTCTTGCGATTACTCTCACCTTCTTACTTGTTTCTTGGAGCTCCCCAGCGAGAACGAATTCGTCTAAGATTAGATATACCTTCATAGGAAAACAATGCAGCATACACAAGGTAAATACACTAGAAGTAAAAGAAAATACAAAGATTCACAATGAGAAAGACTGACAAATCATACCTTGTGAAAGTTAAAAACCAAATCTAACTCGCAGACATTACTAAAGAAGTGATCCAGTATCTCCACAAACAAGTGGATGCACTCCAAATAAGCCAACTCATTGTCCGTCATATCAACACAGAGCGAGAAAAATAGCCCAGCATACCGCCTGTAGATTATCTTGTGTGCTCGGAACTGACAAGTAAAACATCAACTACACGCCATTAAAATCCCGCAGGACCAAAGAATTCACTCTCATAGTCTGTAAAAGTGTCTTCAAAACGACACCCTCGGGGATTAACAGTATATTTTATCTCATCTCCTTCTTGGATTAGTTAGTAGAACTGTGGAAGAGAACTAGCAGGTGAGAAACAATTAACTATTTCCTTCACATTCCGCTCTTAACCACAATCGACAGAGTCAGTATTCAATCAGAGCATCTTTGGCAGTACAGTTTAAGGAATCAATGGCCTCTTAACTTTGAAAGGAAAGAAAACACAGCACAGATCTTATCATTGCATGAAAAGTTTCACATGAGGCAATAGAACGATTTGTGAAAAAAAAAAAAAAAAAAGTTCTAACACTCTCAGCTCCACAAAGTTGGTGAATTTGGGGTCTCTATTCACGACCAACCGCTGAACCTCCAGAACCAGATCGAATGTTAAAACTCAGCGTTAATGACACAAATGTATCAAGATATCATAGCAAGAACATGTTTTCGACTTTGTGCTTCTCGGATTCCTCGAGGGGGGTGTAATACTTGGCCAAACGAGTCTATCCTTGCCAGTTTTTAAGCAGAATGAATCAAATCTGCCCATTTCAAGCCCAAACTCAACCAATTCACCAGAAAAATGAATCGAGAGAACACCCAAATGGCACTGCTTGAAATTACCATTTTGATAGAACCACTGGATCCAAGAGACAAGACTGGATTGATTCAGTCTGGCATTTAGCGAAAAAGAGAAGCTTTTCTGTTTTGCCCGCCGTCTGGAACAGTATATTATTTTGAAGTATTTCCTTTCTTCTTAAAAAAGAAATACAACCACGAACCACCTAGTATTTTTATTTTTAATGAGAGAAACTATGTTACTAGACGTGTTCTAGAAGCATTGCTCACAGTTTTGCCAGCATGTTTAATCACTCCTTTCAAAGCAGTCAAAATAGCATCATGAATTCCAACATCTGAATACTGCTGCCCATATCACCACAATATTAGATTATGAAGGTTAAAACCAAAGAAAAGAGAAGAAAAAAAACACAAGATGAAGTATGCCACCTGTAAAGCAGATAAAAGATCACCAAAACCAAAGGATCAATCCTAGTTGTGAGTGCACTTAGTTTACCAAGGGCAAGAGCAGCACTTGATCGAACAGTCCTGCAAACAACTTGCATAGCATGAGCTAGGAATATACATCGTAGTACCGAACCTAACAAAATAACGTGTCTAAAAAAGAACCAAAAAACCATAAGAATTGAAAGCTAACCTTGTATTATCCTGGAAACACTTATCAAATGTTGTTTGAAGCTGGGGAAGAAAAGGCTTTAGGGCCAACCCACCCTTCTGTATTATGATGCTCAGAGAATTGCACTTTTAACTTGCCATGGGAACCTGTCCGGCTGTCCCCTATTATACGGATCAACGGCCTACACCAAATAACAATTCATGAACAAGCAAACTAGAATGGCCTTACACTGGTGAGCCAAAAGTTCAGACAATTAGAGGACTGTTTTATAGTTGATGCACTAATAAAGGGCATAGTTCACTGCATAACATAAATAGGCAACGTAATGTCTACGTATAGCTTATTTTGTTGGTTGCAATCCTTTTAATAGTGTCTGGTCAAAACTAGCAATGTGTAGAACTATAGTAACAGCTCATACCCTGTGATTGGAATGAAAAACTCCTTTAATGCTTGCTCACTTGTCACTTCAATTAACCCTCCACGGCCCAAAGCTGCTTTCTCTCTTAATTCAGCAGATCCAATTATAAGACCCTGCAGATAATAAAGGAAATTCACATAACCATGCAATCAAAGCTCAACAATCTTGCATTCTTAATACTTGTTACCAATGCTTGTAATAATGCGAAACAGATTCCAAAAACGACAACAGCAATAATAAAAACAATCTTTATGTATAATTAATAGATTATACTTAGTTCCTTACATATAATAATTCTTGGAAGAATTTCTCTGCTATAATTATTAAATATTAGAAAATTTGGTATACAAATGTAGAGATTCTATTTAGGGCAAAAAATAAATGAAGTAAATGAAGTAAGCCTACAAAAGAATATTGACACCTATAAACTTAAATGAATCAACCACATTTCTCATAGTATTTCAAAGAGAGAGAGAGAGAGAGCGCGGTAAGCATAAAGAACAAGCTTAAAGCATGTAATTATAATACATAGCCCGTTCAACAGGAAGGAGCACATTAAGATGCCAACTCCATAGCAAACATGTAAACCTTGTATATAACAACAAAATAAAAGATTACCAGCGTTCGTGATATTAGGATAGTCATAACAACAGGAAGATCTTTGGTTCCAAGCACATCAGCCACAGAATGTAAAGCCAATGCTATCCCTTGTCTGCCGATCCAACCAGCACCAATATTGTCCTCACAAAAACCAGCATCACGGATATACAATCATTTTTAAACTAAAGAGCACACTTGAAAATTATTTTTAAACTAAAGAGCACAATTGAAAATTATTTTTAAACTAGAGCACATTTGAAAATGATTTTTAAACTAAAGAGTACACTTGAAAAATCATTTTTAAACTAAAGAGCACACTTGAAAATCCTTTTTAAACTAAAGAGCACACTTGAAATCATATACCTATTAATAGTACTTGAACCAAATAAAAGGAAACCTGCTGCGGTTTTAGTTTTTCAGCAAAGGACAAGGTCAAAACATTTTATCACACAGTATAGCAAAAACTAATTAACCCAAAAGGATGAAATAGGCAGGCATACCTTTGACAGAATCAACAAAGAAAACAAAAGGATCCGCCTCATCAATGGCTGATTGCAACTCTTCATCATCACAAAAATCATCATCAGATGAGTCATCCTCGTCATCATTGGAGCGGAAAGCACTCGCCTGAAAACCACAAAGTTACAGCATATAGAGATGGATGTTAATTTCACAAAGGAAAAGAACAGAAAACAAGCAGGAACAAGATGCTTAGATGGGTATGATACAATTTGTCTCTTAATTCTGTTACCTTTGCTGCCAACTTTTGGAGCTTTAGGCTGTCAGCTTCATCTCCATCCTCGTCATCATCTGCCATTTCTCTATCAGACTCATTGTCATCGTCATCACTTCGAAATCCATCCATCTCAACCTCATCTTCAGCATCCTCTCCCTTTGCAGCTTCTGAAGATATAGAACGTAGAAAATGATATCAAACATTAAGAGAATAATCAGAATATACCATCTAAAGTGCAAATGAAACAAATAGAAAAACCAGTATGGGAAAAACATAGAATAAAAAAAATAAAGTAAAATAAAATAAAATGGTTACTTACCAGCAAGTTGCTCCTTGCTTGCATACAAGGAGGTCAAGAATGGCCTTAAAAAAATGCCCTCAAAGGCAGCTGCAGGCATTTGATCAGCAGGAAGACTCAGCAATGATGTCAAGCCCAAGCAGTAAACCTTCTTCTCATGCTCCCTGCAATACCAACATGGCAAGAATTAGAAACCACCACTTCTCTTAGCTTTGTTTTTCTTATGCCTTTTACATCTCTCCACAAGAACTACAAGACCAACATATTGCTACCTTTTAGAATTAGCCCGAGCTCCACTTTTTTTAGTTTGTTGTAGCATATGGAACCAAAGATTGAAGATCTCTGTAGCAACACCAAGCTTTTGCAGTATGCTCAGCGTAAATGAAGGGTTATAGTAAAGAGCATCAACAATCTGTCAATAAGAAACAAATTTAGAAGTAATTTCGCAGGAAAAGAAGGCCACAAACACAGAGTACTTTTTTTTATTTGAATGATAGAGAGAAACTATGTAACTACAAGTGTTCTAGAAGCACTGCTCACACTTTTGGCAGCATGTTTGATCACTCCTTTCAAAGCGGTCAAAATAGCCTCACCAATTCCAATATCCGAAGCCTGCTGCGAATATCACCACAATATTAGATTTTGAAAGTTAAAACCAAAGAAAATAAACAAAAAAAAAAAAAGAAACATAAGATGAAGTACGTCACCTGCAAAGCAGATAAAAGATCACCAACCAAAGGATCAATCCTAGTTGTGAGTGCACTTATTTTACCAAGGGCAAGAGCACTAGATCGAACAGTCCTGCAAACAACTTGCATAGCATGAGATAGGATTATACATCGTAGTACCGAACCAAACATAATAAACAAGTCTCAAGATGAACCGAAAAACCATAAATATTAGAATCTAACCTTAACCTTGTATTACTCTGCAAACACTTAACAAATGTTCACACTCGTATGACTATATTTTCAAATGCAAACCAAAAAAGAAGAATGCACGAAAATTGGAGAAAAAAATCCTACATCCCAAAAGTAAAAGAACATCAACATTCTACTACTTGTTAACAGCCCTAAAATATTATATGCTATGCAATGACGTATGTATGCAGGACCACACATTTAAGACTTGCTCCCTAACTGTTAAGTAGCCACAGGAATGTTCACACTTGTAGATTATATTTTCAATAACAGACAATGATTGTATACAGTAAAACATCTAAGATTACTACCATTATTACCATGATCACCACAAAGAAGTTCAGATTCATTAAACCAACAGCATTATTGACAGAAGGTGATTTACCTGTCAACCTCCCACATCATAGCCTTCACTTCAACCTGATCAGTTATATAAAGAATATTATATTCAAATATAATGTCAACTGGATTGAAGAAAACACTGCGTAGAAATTAAAATAATAAAAAACCTTGCCGGGATGTTGATGGGATTGCGGCTGGATACGATTTTGATCGGAGAATACGCTCACAACTGCTTCTCCGATTCTGTCTCCCGCGGCGGCGATCTCGTGTGTGATCTCGTTCCGGCAGACGTCCGAGCATGACTCGCTGATCGCCGGGATGAGATCGCGGATTGTCTCGTATATGTCCATGAATTTGAAGAGCCGTCGACGGAGATGGCGTGGTCGTCGAAGATGTCAAGGGTGGAGTCGTATTTGAGAAGGTGTGAGGCCTGCTTGACACCTCCGGTCCCATTGATGGCAATGACATCAAGGGGAGAATCCTTCCTTCCATGCCAGCATCTCAAGAAGTACCTTCCAATTCTTCCGAATCCATGAATGGCCCCTTCCTCTGCTTCCCTTCTCTGGCCTCCTCTATAGCCGAGACAGAGCAATCGGAAAACCAAAATAAATAGCCGGGTACGATCTTCGGCGCCGACTTAAAAATTTAATCCGTTGAAGATTTTCTTACAAATTAAATCCGTTGGAGATTCTCTTACAAATTTTAATCCGTTGGGAGATTTTCTTGAAATTTTAATCCGTTGGAGATTTTTATAAAAATTTAATTCGTCGGAGATTTTGAAATTTAAAGCCGGCGAAGGGAAGGAATCGGAGGAGATTTTAGATAGTTTAGAGAGAGATGAGAGCGTACAGTGTGGTCTGCCTGTCCGAAGTCCGAACAAGGGTTAGGGCTTTGGATATTTATACGTGGGCCGATGGGTAATAAATTGGGCTTAGCACAAGAAATGTTCATGGATAATTAATTAGGCCACTTTTTTATATAATTTGGGGCAGTGTATATGTTGGCAAATTATGCCCTGGACCCGTGTCCACATTGAATTGTGGACACGGGCCCAAAACGACGTCGTTTTTTTAAAAAAACGTGTCATTTAGTTAAAAAAAAAAAAAATTGCGCGCGTTTTGTCGTTAACGGCGTTATTTTTTTTTTGGATTATGAATGTACAGTTATGCCGTTATGAATGTACAGTTATTCCGTTATGAATATACAGTTATGCAATTATGAAATTATGAACACAGAGCTCTAACATTATGAACTTACAATTATGAACATATATAGTGATAAAATTATGACCATGGAGCTTTAAAATTGTGAATATAGAGCTTCGAAGATTATGAATGTACAGTTATGGAGTTATGAATGTACAGTTATAGAGTTATGAATCTACAGTTATGGAGTTATGAATCTACAGTTATGAGATTCTGAATCTACAGTATGGAATTATGAATGTACAGTTATTGATCAAATTATGAACAAAGAGCTCTAACATTATGAACTTACAATTATGAACATATAGTGATAAAATTATGAACATAGAGCTCTAAAATTGTGAACGTAGAGCTTCGAAAATTATGAATGTACAGTTATAGAGTTATGAATGTACAGTTATAGAGTTATGAATGTACAGTTATAGAGTTATGAACGTACAGTTATGGAGTTATGAATGTATAGTTATTAACATATAGTAATAAAATTATGAACATATACTCTTACAATGAAGCGGTCTGAAATTTAAAATTTAAAAAAAAAAAAAAAAAAAAAAAAAAGGAGATAACAGTGCCTAATGGCACTGTTACCCGTGTCCAGCAAGCATGCTGGACACGGGTCCAACGCATAACGATTGGTATATGTTTATGACTATAAAAAATAAAAAGGCCTTGGATCATTACTTCTCATCATTATTCTATAGATATAGACTATGGTCTATAAATTTTTGTAAACTATAAATAAAATATATATTTTTATTTTTAATATACTAAAAGTAAATTATTTATATCATAAAGTACATTATGTATATACATAAAGTACTAATGAAGGGGGATTATTAATGTAAAAATTTAATTTAAAATAAGACTAAAATTTTGCTAAAAATAAGCACACTAATAATTAATGGAGTGAGCACATACATACTTTTTCCTATTAGAGTTTGAACTCCGTTCAAAAGAGTCATAATTATGTTGTTTGACCACAATATTTTTTATGAGTATGATTTTTTTTTTAAATACTCATGATTTTTTACAAGATAGTATCGGGATATTTTTTTTTAATTCATTAGTAATTCATGATAATAAATTTATAAATAACTAATAGGAAGTAGTAATTTTGGTGTGTGTAACATTTACCTTTATAAATTACTAATGATAATGACTAGGTCCATCTGTTAGTGTTGGCCGTTTCTAACAAACTTAGATATAAAATATAAAATAGTCAAATAGGCATCTAAACATTACACGATGAATCAAGGAAAATTATTGTATGGACCATAACAAAAAAATACATTTTTATTATACTGAATGTACATTATTTTTGTACTGAATGTACATTATTTTACAGTAGACAAAATATGGTCCACAGAACATGATTGATAAATCAATTAGGCCCATGAACTTTTAAAAAGTGCAATTATACACATCAACTCGCGATTTTAAGGCATCCAACAACATTAGCCAGTTACATCTCCAGTAAGTTTTGGTAAATGCCTCTGTGACTTGGCACATAAGCTTTGTTTTGAGTATTTGACTCGCCACATAAACATAAATAAAAAAATTAAATAAAAGAAATTTTAAAACTCACATCTATAAAGCAATGTGATCACCTCTACTAGACTCAAACCCATAACCTCTCATCTAAGAATTCAACTTTGATTAGTTGATGCCATTAGACCATAAAGTCTCGACTGTGAAGTGTCTAACTACTGAAGTAGTTAAGTACTTAAGTTATATGAATGTAAGTTTGTAATAGCTTATGATATTTTAGTTTGTAAGTTTGTATGTTTCTTCTAAAAAAATGTCAAATTGGTTATTTTAATTAAATAAACAAAATCGAATTATCCGACGGTTTTAACGGATATCAGCAGATTAAATCAACTGTATATCCACGGTTTTAAGTAAAAAAAAAAAAATGATAAGAGCTTAAATAGTGTATCCGATATCCGCTCGGGATGACTATCTGTGAACTCGAGCCGTCCGAACCCGTCTTACGCACATCCTTATGTCCAAGTACCAATCATTAAACGTTAATACATATTTTAATTAATTTAGAAGTTAAAAAAAATTAAGATAAAACTAACAACCGCTACATATGTATTATGGATAGAGCTCACATTGTGACTTTAACTGGGAAAAGATCACATTAAAATTAATCAGCTTAGATTATTTATAGTTAACTTGCTCAAACTGAGAAGTCCAACAAAATTGTTTCTAGTGAAAACAAATTTGAAATTTTATAATCATCAAGTTAAAAATCTGACTCATTCGAATGGGATACGCCTATTAATTTAGAAATTAGAAGTATTCAAGACGCCGCGTTTGGGCATGACTTTAGGAGCACGAGGGGGAAAGTAGAATATAAAGGCCATGTTTGGTAAATGGCTGTTATTGATAACTGTTAGCTATTAGCTGATTGTGTTAATTAGATGGTATAACTTGTTGATAACATTAGCTGTTGTAGAAAAGTATTTGATAAATTAGTTATTAGCTGATATTTGTTTGGTATAATTTCTTTTCTAAAAAAGCTAATTGAAATAGTTGTTTGAAGTAGCTTTTTGAATTTTAGCATTTTGGAGTTGCAAAAAGCTAATTAACCAAACACTTATATTGATATTTTAACTAAATCAAAAAATTAATAGTGGTCAAATAAGCCAAATTAACCTATAGGCCAATTTTTTACGGGCCAAAGTCTAGCTAACTATAATGCACGCTACAACTTTTTACGGTTAGCTTTTTTAGGTTTCAAAATTATTATTTTTAATCTAAACAAAATTTAAAATATATTTCTCGAGAAACAAAATTGAACAATTAAATTTTTACATATTTTTAAAAATAGTTAATTCTCTTTTTTATCCTAGGCTTATAATAGCATGGATAATTTTAATCTTTTATAAAAAAATGTTGTCAATTTATAGACACTTATTGTGACGAGGACAATTTTAATCCTCTATTTATTATCTGATTAGTTGACCGTCTAAATAAGTGACGTTTTTGTTAATTTGGCAAAAGTCAAGCTGATTCTCTTCCCCAAATAACACAATGTATTTGATACTGATAACATTCTATACATCAAGATCCGTATTTGGCATCCCATCAAAATGCAGCAGTTTGATTCTTAGATGCTGTTTAAAAAATTTTCTCCTGGATGCTGTTAAATAAATATTTATGTGTCAACCTCTCCCCAAAAAGGATTTCTTATCGTAATTTTTGTTCAAATGACTTTTGACAGTGCTCTTCTGATTCGCTTGCTAAAGGAGAGTGTAAAAGGATATTCTCCCAAGGAGAATGTTTTGACAGAAGAGCTTGAGTTCGTTAGCCATGCTCTTTTTACAGATCCAGATGATCAAAGTGGTTGGTTTTATCATCTATGGCTTCTTGATCAGACAGTAAAGTTAACAACTTTGTTGGTTTCTTCATGGCCACCTCATGGCTCTAGTCTTCATTTGACAAGAGATGGTTTGCTGGATAATTTTATTTTGTCACCTTTAGCCGGTTCTAAGTCTAATGCTAGAACACTTCCCCTCATTCTCTACTGGAGGGCATATTGAGTGGGGGCTAAAGTTGATGATCAACTGCTTTTTATTGAGCAGATGTTTGTCATGGCAAATGAACTGCAATGAGGGCTAATTGAGTGAGATTCTGAAGAGATACAGTATATAGAAATTGGATTTTTTTTTTAAAAAAAAATTATCTTCGAAAGAGAGTGTTGAGTTTATCTTCATAATGTCCTTTTGCAGTTATTCTCCAATCAAGAGTCTTTGTTGGAACGCTGCCATCAATATCGTCATATCGAGAACCATCTTCTTCAATCATTTATAATTATTCATGTCTGCGGCTAAATAACCTCTCACTTTCTCGAGTTGGGTGTGTCGAAAAACTTTAGTGGTCCAGATCCTAGATCTTAGCTGCAACCAACTTCGGTCAATTGAAGGTACAAAACTCCAGTTCTTACTTAGAACTCGTGGCATGTTGTTTTATGCCTTCTTTTCATCAATTTATGGCGTAAGGTGTAGCAGGAAACAATGCTTGTTCTTTCTCAATGTTTAAATTGAAAATGATATTAATACCATGTTTTATGAATTTTGGTGCAGGCATGGAGGCAATGCAGCCACTCTCTTGTTTAAATCTAAGCCAGAACTTACTTTGCAGTGTCACTGCTT